GTGGATTTTTTATATATGGCCTTTATCGTGTTGAGGTATGTTCCCTCTAAATGTATTTTGTTAGGGTTTTTATCATGAATGGATGTTGTACTTGTCAAATGCTTTTTCTGCATCTATTGCATTGATCATCTGGTTCTTATCCTTTCTTTTATTAAAGTGATGTATCACGTTGACTGATTTATGAATATTGAACCACCCTTGCAACATGGGAATAAATCCCACTTGATGGTGGTGAATGATTTTTAAAATGTATTGTTGGTTTTGATTTGCTAGTGTTATGTTGAGGATTTTTGCATCTATGTTCAGCAGAAATATTGGTCTAAAGTTCCTTTTTTTACAGTGTTTTTGTCTGGTTTTGGTATCAGAGTAATGCTGGCCTCACAGAATAAATTTGGAGATTTTCATTCCTTATCTGTTTTTTGGAATAGTTTGAGAAGAATAGGTATTAACTCTTCTTTAAGTGTTTGGTGGAGTTCAGCTGTGAAGCTACCTGGTCCTGGATGTTAGTTTTGGGGGGATTTTTTTTTTAACATCTTTATTTTATTTTTTTCAGTGCTCCAAGATTCATTGTTTATGCATCACACTCAGTGCTCCATGCAATACATGCCCTTCTTAATACCCAACACCAGGCTCACCCATCCCCCCACCACCCTTCCCTCCAGAACCCTGTTTGTTTCTCAGAGTCCACAGTCTCTCAAGCTTCATCTCCCCCTTTGTTTTACCCCAATTTACTTTTCCTTTCCTTTTCCTAATGTTCTCCATGTTATTCCTTATGCTCCACAAGTAAGTGAAACCTTTGGGGGACTTTTTGGTTATTGATTCAATTTCTTTGCTGGTTACTGGTCTGTTCAAGTTTTCTGTATCTTCGTGTTTCAGTTTTGATAGCTTGTTTGTTTCTATGAATTTATCCATTTTTTAGATTGTCCAATTTTCTGGCATATTGTTTATATAATATTCTTTTATAAATTATTTGTATTTCTGTGGTATTGGTTGTTATTTCTCCTTTCTCATTTGTGATTTTATTTATTTGGGCCCTTTCTCTTTTCTTCTTGATAAATTTGGCTAGGGATTTTTCAGTTTTACTGACTTTTTTTTTTTTCAAAGAACCAGCTCCTGTTTCCATCGATCTGTTCTATTGTCTTTTTAGTTCCTATATCATTTATTTCTACTCTGATCTTTATTATTGCTTTCTTTCTGCTGGCTTTAGGCTTTGGCGCTCTTTTTCTAACTCCTTTAGGTATAAGGTTAGGGTGTTCTTTTGAGATGTTTCTTCCTTCCTGAGGTAGGGCTGTATTGCTAAACACTTCCCTCTTAAGACTGCTTTTACTGCATCCCAAAGGTTTTGGACCATTCTGCTTTCATTTTTATTTGTTTCCATGTACTTTTTCATTTCTTCTTGTATTCCCTGGCTGACTCATTCATTGTTTGGTAGCACGTTTTTTAACCTCCATGTATTTGATCTTTCCAGATTTCTTCTTGTAATTGACTTCTAGTCTCATAGTGTTGTGGTTAGAAAAGGTGCATGATATAACTTGAATCTTTCTCGTATTTGTGGAGACCTGTTTTGTGACCTAATACATGATCTATTCTGGAGAATGTTCCATGTGCACTTGAAAAGAATGTGTATTCTGCTGTTTTAGAATGGAATGTTCTGAATATATGTGTTAAATCCATCTGGTCTAGTGTGTCATTCAAAGCCATTGTTCGCTTGTTGATTTTCTGTTTAGATCATCTGTCTATTGATGTAAGTAGGGTGTTAAAAGTCTCTTACTGTTATTGTGTTATTATTGATTAATTCCTTTATCTTTGTTATCTTTTTAAATATTTAGGTGCTCCCACTTTAGGTGCATAAATATTTATAATTGTTATATCTTCTTGTTGGATTATCCCCTTTATGATTATATAGTGTCCTTCCTTGTTTCTTGGTACAGTCTTTGCTCTAAAGTCTAACTTGTTCATGTAGTGTCCAAGTATTATTACTTTGGCTTTTTTTAACATTCTTTTGCATGATAAATATTTCTTTATTCCCTCACTTTTAATCTGCAGATGTCTTCAGGTCTAAAATGAGTCTCTGTAGGTTTGTTTTTTTTTTTTTTTTAAATCCATTCTGACACTCTGTCTTTGATTCTTTAGTCTACTTACATTCAAGGCAATTATTGGTAAATACATAATTATTGTCATTTTATTACTTGTCTTGTAATTGTTTCTGGAGATTTTCTCCTCTCTTGCTTTCCTCTCTGTCATCATTTGCTGATATATTGATAGTGATATATTTGAATTTCTTTATTTTTGTTCTTTGCATGAATCTTACTGGTTTTTGATATATGATTACCATTAGGTTTATAAATAACCTCTTCTGCATATAGAAGTCTGTATTAAGTTGATGGTAATTTAAGTTTGAACCCCTTTTTTCTTCTGTCCTCCCCATGTTTTAGGTATATGTTGTTATATTTTGTATCCTTTTTTGTGAGTTCCTTGACTAATTTTTTACAGAAATATTCATTTTTACTGATTTTGTGTTTCCTGTCTTTATATTGTGACTTTGGGTTTTTCACTTTCACTCAGAGTCCCTTTAAATAGTTCTTGCAGGGCTGGGTTAGTGGTCATGAATTCCTTTCATTTTCATTTGTTTAGGATACTCTTTATCTCTCCTTCTATGCTGAATGATAGCCTTGCTAGGTAGAGTATTCTTGGCTTCAGATTTTTCCCATTCAACACTTTGAATACATCATGACTCTTTCTTCCTGCTTGCCAAATTTCTGTTGAGAAATCTCCTGCTGGCCTTATGGATTTTCCCTTGTAATTTAAATTAGACTTCTTCTGTCTTGCTCCTTTTAAGATTTTTTTCATTTATTACTAAATTTTGCAAATTTAATTACAATATGTCTTGGTGTGGGCCTGCTTTTGTTGATTTTGATGGGGGTTCTCTGTGCCTCCTAGATCTGGATGTCTGTTTCCTACTCCAGGATTAGGGAAGTTTTCAGCTATTATTTCTCCAAATAAATTTTCTGCCCCCTTTTCTCTCTCTTCTTCTTCTGGGACTCCTGTAATACAAATGTTATTTATTTGATGGAGTCACTGAGTTCCATAACTGTATTCTTGTTTTGCATAATTCTTTCTCTCTTTTGTTCAACTTCATTGCTTTCCATTATTTTGTCTTCTAGGGCATTAACTTGTTCCTCTGCTTCTTCCAAAGTGATATTCATTGCATCAAGTATGTTTCTAATCTCATTTATTGCACTCTTCATCTCTGATTCATTTTTTTTTAACTTTATCTCTGTGATAAGGGTCTCACTGATGTCTTCCATTCTTTTCTCAAGTCCAGTGAGTATCCTTATGATCATTGCTTTAAGTTCTCCATCAGGAATATTATTTATACATGTTTTGCTTAGATCTCATGCCATGACTTTATCTTGTTCTTTCATCTGGGATAAATTCCTATGTCTTCTCATTTTGTCTAAATCTCTGCCTTCTTCTCCGTGTTAGAAAAGCCAGTTATGTCGTCTGTTTCTGAAAGTAATGGCCTTATGAAAAAGAAGTCATGTCGTACCCGGGCCTGGCACTTCAGGGAGTTTCTCCAGTGTGTGCTGTATGTCCTCTGCTATTGTGCTTTGGCTGCTCTATCCTTCAGGCCAGCCATCTGCAGAGGTCCCTTTTGTCTAATGTGGACAGTGTGTGGTTTTTGCCTGAATGTGGTGAGTTTTAACTAGGTATGCTCTGGTCTGCTTGTGAAATGAGACCAGAACTGAGGCTTTGCCAAACTCTCTGGTTGGGAGATGTGGTATGAACAGAGATATGTGCTGTCGTGCTGGGACTGAGGCAAGTGTGACTGAGAAAGGCAGTCAGTTCCACCAGAATGCTGTGTGGGGGGTTTAGTATAAACACATCCTTAGGCAGCAAGTGCCAGTGTTGCACTGCTTCCCGCAGATGACGCTGTATTTATACTGGGGCAGGGGAGGGAAATGGTGTTGGCTAGCTTCTTTGTTCCCCTAGAGGTGTCCTTGAATACTGCCTCTCAGGGATCTGCTCTATGAAGAGTGTATAATCTCCCCCACTGTGTGCCCCAAGCACTCTTCAGATTGTTGTTTCCATGTTGTATGCTCCCGGGTTGTTTGCCTGCCTTCTGTCCAAGAGCAGCACAGTGCCTTTTAGGCTCTATCCCAGCCAAGCCTGCTAGACTTTAAAACTAGGATTTGAGCCCCATTGGTTGCAAGAACTCACAAAATTCAGCCCTTCTCATTTTCCAAGCCAATAGCTATGGGGAATCATTCTCTTTGTGCAGTCTCCTGTGTACTCCTCTGTCTCACCCTTCTCCACAACCATAGTTCCTTCCTTTTCACAGCAGTCAGGACTTGCTTCCCCCCTAAACCATGTCTCTGCATTTCCTACCTTCAGTGTGGCTTCTTCTCTCTCTTTAGTTGTGGAGTTTGTTCTGTCAGTATTCAGGTCAATTTCTGGGGTATTTAGGATGATTTGATAGTGACCTTGTTGCATTTGGGGTCAAGGGGAGTCTGGGATCCTCCTATTCTACTGGCATCTTCCTCCTCTCCAATATTGGTGAAACTTGAAGACATCATGCCAAGTGAAATAAGCCAGGCACAAAAGAACAAATGTAGCATAACTCTACTTATTTAGGGTACCTAGAGTAGTCAAATTAGAGGGAGAATGCAGAATGGTGGTTGCCAGGGGAACCAGGGAGGGGGGAAACAGTGTTATTTAATGGGTATGGAATTTCAGTCTGGGAAGATGAAAAGTTTTGAAAATGGATAGTGATGATAGTAGTGCAATAATGCAAAGGTACTTAATGCCACAAAACTACACATTTAAACTCTGTTAAAATGGTGTATTTTATGTTATGTCTATTTTACCACAAAAAGAAGAGAGAGAATAGAGGTAGACAGAAAAATTAGGTGGGAGAATTGTAAAGGAAAGCTGAAATAAGAAAAGTAAAATATTTTCAAGCATCACTTTTTCTTCAGATTTTGCCTTTGTTTATTCAGGGTTTACAAGGACCCCCTGGGAGTACAGGAGAAAGAGGACTTGAAGGAGAACCAGTAAGTTTATCTTTATACATTGCTAATTGTGTTTTTCTCATAATATACATTTACTTTTCTATTATTGCCCCCTTGTGCTGTGGCTGGTACATTTTTGAAAGCAGCATTTATCATGGACACCTAATTATACAGAAAATATTTTGCTGGAAATATAGTTTTTAGTACCTTCTGGGTCTCATACAGTCAGATTTGGTCCTGTTTTTCTGGAACTGCTAAGATTTTACCTATTTCTATTTTCAACAATGATAGCTCTGTTTTATTGGCTTGCAGAAATTTTCTTTGTGAATGGCTTGCTGTTCTTAAGTGACTATATTATACTGTCACAGACACACAGAATCATATTTTTGAGGCCAACTTTGTAATAAAATACCTCACAAAGGAGCCAAATTCTACATCTGATGGGTCTAAATATACAAACATAGAAATTCTGGCATATCAATAATGAAAAACTTACATCATGATTTTATAAATGTGATTCAATTATAAAATTTCCATGGAAAATGATTATGAAAAGGAAAGATTTTTGTCACACCAACTTTCTCACAACTTATTCTTTATTGCCTATGAAGTCATTCTTCTGGTTAATGGTATCAGATGTAATATGCTATAACATGCTTGTAAGATTTATAATACAATATAGTCTTTCAAACTCTAGTGGGTTGATCTTATCTATTAATTGACCCAAAGATTTACAGGTGGCCTCTGCATAATTCATTTAGCTAGTAGCAAGTGGAAAATGTAACAAAGAGGTATTCTTACCAAATGGTATTCATTTCCTCCTTTACATATTTAACCTATGGTATAAACTTTCCAAGCAATAGGTAAAGATTTGACTGTATATCTAATTCTTTCCAAATGAAGAATTTTAGATATAGTATTGATTTTATTAAACTGAACTCCTTTTGGTTCTCTCCCTGTTTTATACCTCTTGCCATCCCAATCCTAATATTTATTTGACCAAAAATAATGCAACTTTATTTAGCATTATTTACTTAAATATCTCTTTGAAAAAATTTCTAGCTCTTTGAAGTTAGAGACCATTTCTCTCATCTTTGCAATCCTGTCTGGTGTAATGCATAGCATCTTGGATCTACTTAGTGTTCAGGTTGTTAAACTGAATTGACAAAAGGTTATATACAAAAAGCATAATTGCTTAGCCAGTAATATTAGATGAAGTGAAATGCAATGGAAGTTAACTTAATCTTAGTAAGGAACACATTTCAGTAAAATATGTCAAAAGATCTAGGTCAGCAGCAAAGACAATATCAGGCTTTAAATAAGAAAAGATTTGTTACTGTAGACATAAACAACTAAATAGTTTAACAGCACCTAAAAATTAACATTCAAGTCACTGGGGTCAGTGGGCCTGGTAAAATATAAATCAGTTCGTAATGGATATCATGGGCTTTGTTTCATATATTTGAGCTGCCTGGTTAAATTAGAGAAAAGAAAAGAAGTAAATTGGTAAAATGAAGGACACAGAAGTGATGCTGAAACATATTTATACTTTGAGAATAATAAAATAGAGAGGACTACATCTTTTCTATAATCAGCATCTATTAGAGTTGTCTCTTTCTCCCCAATTTTTCAAAATTAGTTTGCTCATAGCAATGCAAATACTGGGATTTAGATAGTTGACCATTCATTCATTCAATCAACAAATATTTATTAAGTACCTGCATTGGAATGTACTGGTAAGTATGGAGGTTTCAGTCTAATGATAGAAATATATACTAATTGAATTTTCATGGAGATAAATGGAAAATTACAAACCGAGATAAATGCTGTGAAGTATAGGAATTCAATTCTAAAAGAATGTATAACAGAGAAACTATACTTAGGAAAGTCTTCCAGAGGAGAAGCATTTGAGCTAGGATATGAAGGATGAATAGTAATTACTTAGGCAAAGATGGGGAGAGGTTATTTCAGAGAGAAGTCATGAAATGAGAGGAAGTTCCACATATTTATTTGAAGATCTAAAAGAAGGCTAGCATGGCAATGGCACAGAGAGTCAGGTGGAACGTAAGTGTAAGATGAGGTTGGAAAAGGAAGCAGGGACAACACATGTAGTTTTGTGGGCCCCAATCCCAAGGATTTGTATTTTTATCATAAAAACAAAAGGATGTCATTAAAGAGATAGGACTAGTTTTATGATCATATTATTGTTTTGTAGAGATCATTCAAATTGGAAGGGACTAAGAGTGGATAAGCCCTGCTTTCTGTTGTGATCCAATTAAGAGATGGTAGAATGTTTTTGATTAGCAGAGAAAAGAAGTGGATAGATATAAAAGATTCAAAAGGAGATATAAAATCAATAGGAGATTGATTTCTATATGTAAAGTGATTCCTAAGTTTTTGCCTGATCCAAATAAATATTTTTGGTATCTTTAAACATTGAACACTGCCTTTAAAAAGGAATATGAGGGGAATGCTGTAGTTTCTAAAAAATCAATTCTTGATAAATTTGCTTTACACTCTACCCTCCAGTTTAAAAATTATTTTCTAGGTACACTTCCTCAGTTGAATATTAGAAGTCACTTCCACTTACTTTGAAAGATCAGCAGGATTCTCAGATTAATTAAAAGTATGTGATAAAACCAGACATTGAATTACTTATGAAGATATAAAAAATGGCAACAGTTCTAGAAGCAAAAGACAAAAGATCAATGTCTCATTAGAATTTTGACAGTACTAAAATCAGACAAAAATAGCACCCGCAGAAAAAACTAAAAATAAATACCAAAAAAATCAAGTAAAATTAAAATACATGTATAAAGAATTAAGTGAATGAAATGAAAGAAAAATGAAGTGTAAGAAGAATTACAAAAAGACAAAAATTACTTAATATTAAGAAATCCATAATATAACATATTACAGATATAGTGGAAAAATGCTAAAAACACATACTCAATAAAATTCAACTATTTTTGATTTGTTAAAAATTGTAGTAAAATAGTTTCTGGTCTGAATTGTAAGGAGCTTGGAAGCTGTCATCCCCCTTCTTACAACAAAGAAAAAGCTGAGCAAACTGAAAATCAACAACTCTTTTTAGATCACTGAGGTCAGAGAACCAACTGTTGCCTGAAAACTGGGGAGACAGGAAGATGTAGAGAACCACATCTTACCACAAGCAGAAGGCCTTAGCTGAATGGTAGGAACACATTTAACTATAATTATATTTGTCAATATAAAGTTGACAAATTGCTTAAGACACAATTTAGATTATCATAAATATTAAAAAACCAAGAGGGAACCCTGTCCGAGGCAAGGCCCCACATGTCTCTGAGTTTTACCACTAGGGGACCTGCTAGGTTCTCTCTGTAAAGTTCAGGGACATACATGCTTTTTCTTCTAGCAGTGGGATGGGAAAAGTAACCATTTTGAAATATACTCAGAACACTCTGTTCTCCTTAACAAAGCTTGCCCTCAAGGGAAATCGGTTTATCTGAGACTAACTGATTTGGGTTTTTGCCAAAGCAAAAAGTTACTGAACTTGGGAGAATTCAGAAGAGCAATTCCCCAACCCTAGATGCTTCTAGTCTCGGACATGGGGGAAAGAAAATACCCCCACTCAGGCTCACTAAAAGACTGAGACCTAATTATGAAACTATAGAGTGATTCTACCCCTCTTGAAACTTACCATCAGATGAATAGGGCTCCTGTATAACAACTGGGGATTACAGCTAAAAGAACTGCAGACCCAAGCCCTATTTAAGACATCTCTGGGAAAGCCTAAAGACAACAGACAAGACAAAAACAATGACACTAGCAGGAAATTTGGCTTCTGACACCATAGTGCAGCAAACAGTAAACATAGCCTAGTTCCCAAACAGGTAACTTGCAACCTTATACTACTGAAGGCCTATTTACCTCAGACCCTTTTACCTTATATACCATGTTTGAATTTCAACAAAAAAATTACAGGGCATGCTAAAAGGGGAAAAACAGTCAGAAGAGACAAAGCAAGCATCAGGAACAGACTTAGATATAGCAGAGATTTTGAAATTTCAGACTGGGAATTTAAAAGTGAAGTAGAAATAAACTTGCCCAAACAAGCAAAAACTGACAGAATTTGTCACTAGTAGACCAGCCTTGTAAAAAATGTTAAATGAAATTCTTCAGAGAGGAAGAAAGTGATATAGATGAGAATCTAGGAGAGAAGAAAGGAAGAACTTTAGAAGGAATACATAAAAGTAATGTCAAATCTTTTTTTTCTTAATTACTAGAATAGGTAGTTTGTGCAAAATAATCACAGCAGTATATTTAATCTCATACTTTATGGATAAATACAGTGATTTAACTTGGATTAACTATAAATATACATTGTAAACTCTTAGAAACCACTAAAATTCTTTTAAAAGAAATGTAAATGATATGATAAAATAAGAGAAAATGGAATCAATTAAAATTCACAGTTAAAAAAGAGCAGAAGACAAAGAAAGAAAAAAAGGAAATGAGCAACAAATAGAAAATGGTAGCAAAGATAGTAGGTATTTTCACTATGTGGAAAACCCCAAACAATTGACCAATAAAAACCCACTCCTGGAACTAATAAGCAATTACAACAAGGTTGCAGGATCAGGATACAAGACTGATAGACAAAAGTCAGTTGATTTCCTATATACCAGCAATAAGCAATTAGAATTTGAAATTTAAAACACAACAGCATTTACATTAGCCTCAAAAATTTAAAAAGAGAGACGCCTGGGTGGCTCAGTCGGTCAAGCGGCTGCCTTAGGCTCAGGTCGTGATCCCAGCATCCTGGGATCAAGTCCCGCATTGGGCTCTTTGTTCAGCAGGGAGCCTGCTTCTCTCTCCGCCTCTGCCTGCCACTCTGCCTGCTTGTGCACTCTTTCTCTCTCTCTCTGACAAATAAATAAATAAATAAATAAAATCTTTAAAAAAGAAAAAATTAAAAAAGAAATAGGTATGAATCTAACAAAATGCACACATAATATATGTGAGGAAAACTATAAAACTGATTAAATAAATAAAAGAAGATCTAAATAAATGGAGAGATATTTTGTGTTAATGGATAGGAAGAGTAAATATTGTTAGGGTGTCACAATTATAGATCCAATGCAATTCCAGTCAAAATACTAGCAAGTTACTTTGTGGATATTGATAACAAAATTCTAAAGTTCTTATGGAAAGGCAAAAGACCCAGAAGAGCCAACAAATATTGAAGAAGGACAAAGTCGGGACTGACATTATCCAACTTGAAGAACTTAATATAACACTATAGTATTAAAGACAATGTAGTAGGAATAGACAAATAGATAATTTGAACAGAATGGTGAGCCCAGAAATAGAAGTCTACAAATATAGTCAGCTGATCTTTGACAAAGTTGCCAAGGCAACACTTTTCAGCAGCTAGTTCTAAAACAACTAGGTATTCATGTAAAAACAAAAGCAAATCCAAAAAACAAGGATCTAGACAAAGACTTTGTACCTTTCAAAAAAATTAACTCAAAATGGATTATAAACCTAAATTAAAATGTATAGCTGAAACTTCTTTACCACTGACCCTGGATTTGATAGTGACTTTTTTATATACATCCTCAAAAGCATGATTCATCAATGGAAAATTGATAAGTTGGATTTCATTAAAATTAAAAACTTCTGTTCTGTGAAAGACATGTTAAGAGATTGAAAGACATGTGACAGCCTGGGAGAAAACATTTGCAAAATGCTTTTCTAAAAGGATTTGTATGCAACATATAGAAAGAATTCTTAAAAGTTAACAGTAAGAAAACAAACAATTCATTTGAAAAATGGGCAACAGATCTGAACGGACAATACACCAAAGACCTACAGATGGCAAAGAAGCATAAGGAAATATGCTTATCATCATATGTCATTAGAGAGAATTGCAAATTAAAACAACAATAACACCATTACACACTTGTATGAATGGCTAAAAGCCTGACAATACCAAATGTTAGCAAAATTCCTGTTAGAATAACAGGAGTTCTCATTCATTGTTGGTAGTAATACAGAATGTAAATGGTACAGCAACTTTGTAACACAATTTGACAGTTGTTTACAAAGCTGAACACATTCTTACCATTATGATCCAGTAATCATGCTCCTTGGTATTTACCAAAATGAGTGGAAAACTTAACGCCTACACGAGAACCTGCACATGAATGTTTATAGCAGCTTTATTCATAGTTGCCCAAAGTAGAAGCAACTGATATGTCCTCAGAAGGTAAATAATAAAAAAAAGTGTAGTGTATCCATACAATGAAATATTACTCATCAATAAAAAGAGCTATTAAGCCACAAAAAGACAGAGGAAGTGCATCCTGATAAGTGAAAAAAGTCAGTCTGAAAAGTCTAAATACCATATGATTCCAACTACATGACATTCTGGAAAAGGCAAAACTATAGAGACAGTAAAAAAGAACAGTGGTTGCCAGGTGTTGGGGGTAGAGGACCAGGGATGAATAGGTAGAAAATGGAAATTTGGGAGACGTGAAACTATTTTATATGGTGCTATAGTGATGGATACATGATATTATGCATTTCTCAAAACTCACACAACTGTGTCTGTGTTCACACAGAGTGAACCCTAATGTAAACTATGGACTTTAAGTAGTAATAGTACTTTAAGTGGTAATGGTGCACAATATCAATTAATCAGTTGTAACAAATGTACCACACTAATGCAAGATGTTAATAACAATAGGGAAAACTTGACAAGGGTGGTATATGGGAACTCTGTACGTTTTGTTCAATTTTTCTGTAAATCTAAAACTTCTCTAAGAAATAAAGTTTGTTAATTGAAACAAAACATTCTGGTAATGTCAAACATAGTTGTGTAATAAAATAAAGTAGCTTATCTTGTATCTGCACCCAACCTACTAGGAAATCCGGAAACACTAGAAGCATAGGAACCACAATATAACATTGCCAACTGTCACTATATTGTCTAACATTATTTGAAAAATTTTAGCTTGTGTAGTGGTGTATGACACAAAAGTGAACATATAAGGAAAGAAAAGCATTATCATTTAGAGAAAATTTAAATATATCCCCCAAAACTTATAAAACCCAAAGAGTTAATTCTGTATTTTTCAATTTCTGAGATACAGTAATATAATGGTAACACCTAAAATGGACCTTTTTAAAAATCAGTTTTCTGATATACATATAATATACAAGTAACAAAATGTAATGGAAAAATATCTCACTCTAGATAGAAACAAAATAATAATTAAGGATAAACTTAATGGGAAGTCGATAGGACACATAGAAAGAAAACTTCAAAAATTCATTAAGAGACATAAAAACAGACTTAGGTAGAATGTCAAGTTATTGTCTAACTAGAAAACTATATTTTTAAAATTAATGTATTTGTTAGTGTTAACACAGTCCCATTCAAAAATCCCATTACCTGTATAAATCAGATGGGGATTTAATTATTATAAGGATAACTTATAAAAATGAGCCAGCAAAATAGCTTAATATTTTTAACCTGCCATAAAAGGAGAATTAGGATTGGTAGATTTTAAAATAATTTTTAAAATTTAAATAAATTTAAAATAATTACATGGAAATAGATGTTTTAAAATGTGATGGAAAAAGTCTTCAAAGACTAACAGATTTAACTATATACAAATTATGAATTTTTCTCATCCCAATTTTTTTTAAGCTCAAAGATGTAAAGAACTGCAGCAGATGTTAACTGGTTCAAGTGGCTATTTTGGATCATTTTTACTTTATGAGTTTCCAGGTATTCTACAGTGATCATATTTAGGGAGAAAAGTTTATCTTTCACAATATATAAAAAAATTAAATGAAAAACTACATAGATGTTAATGGTAAAATAATAGTTCTAGCCAGTTAAGTGGCTTCTACACACTAAGAAGATCTGTTTGGTTTAGAAATTTAATGTTTATGCAGTAAACTAAATACTCAATGTTTGTTTACTTAAAGTTACACTATTCAGTATTACAGTGACCAGGATTCCAATAAAGGTCCAAACATGGATTTTTAATTGCACCACAGTGATTATTTCATATGAGTAAACATTGTTATATCTGTTCATGTGAAACAGAGAAATTGTTGAACTGGATTCACTACTATGATAAAGTATGACATCATGCAACTCTAACGTATTTTTATTTCGTTGGAGACCATGTATTTGCTTCTTTAAAAATGCTATTTTGTCACATTTTTGCCACAAATATCCAGTAGAAATATAATTGTCATATCCATCAAATAAGATAACTTTTGAGAGCTCTTAGTATGATATAATATATATAATATATAGTATGAAATATAATAGTAACTTAGGTGCTTAATAAATGTTTATTGAATGGATGAGTGAATTAGGGAATGAAAGTATGAAGGGTACTGTCCTTTCTTTTCTCTTGAATTCAAATATAGCCTTCTATTCACACACACACACAAATACACACACACAAAACAGATGAATCAACTATAAAGTTATAATTTTGTTTATACAAAAAGTTGATAAATGTGTTCTATTACATATTATATATTAAAAATCCCATATTTTGATGCATATGTTAATCAAAATACAGAGTAAACTTTGATTCTCAGATCTTAAATTTTATTTTAATGTAGGGACCACGAGGATTGCAAGGTGATGCTGGACCTCCTGGAGAAATGGGTGCTGAGGTAATTTTTTTGTGTGTTGCTCTTCTTTGTTGTTTCATCAATTCCCAGTACTTTTTATAAGAGTCCTCAAGGTAAAGTTGATACATTAGGTATATATTTAAAGAATAATTCTGTAGTGTTATGTTTCATATTCAGAAAATACAGCCTAAAATTCCATTAAAAAATAGGGATGACTGTTTTATGAATATAATTTTATACACATGAAGTTATCTTTTTAAAGTTTTTATTTAAATTCCAGTTAGTTGATATACAGTATAAGATTAGTTTCTGGTGGGGGCCCATGGGTGGCTCAGTGGGTTAAAGCCTCTGCCTTCCATGAGCCCAGTCTTGGGATCGAGCCCCGCATGGGGCTGTCTGCTCAGCGGGGAGCCTGCTTCCTCCTCTCTCTCTGCCTGCCTCTCTGCCTACTTGTGATCTCTGTCTGTCAAATAAGTAAAATCTTAAAAAAAAAAAAAAAGATTAGTCTCTGGTGTACAATTTACTGCTTCAGCACTTACATACAACACCCAGTACTCATCACCACAAATGCATTCCTGAATCCCATCACCTATTTAACCCATTCCCTCACCCACCTCCCCTCAGGTAACCATCAGTTTGTTTTCTATAGTTAAAACTCTGTTTTTTGGTTTTCCTCTCCTTATTTTCTCCTGTGAACATTTGTTTTGTTTCTTAAATTGCACATATAAGTGAAATCATATGGTGTCTTTCTCTGACTTATTTTGCTTAGCATAATACTCTCTAGCTCCATCCACATCGTTGCAGATGGCAAGATTTCATTCATTTGGATGGCTGAGAAATGTTCCACTGTATATACATCATATCTTCTTTACCCATTCACCACTCAATGGACATTTGGGCTTTTTTCATAATTTGGCTATTTGTTGATATTGCTGCTATAAACTTTGGAGTGCACGTATCCCTTTGAATTAGTTTTTCTTTATTCTTTGGGTAGTACATTCTAGCAGTGCAAATGCTGGATGGTAGGGTAGTTCTGTTTTTAACTTTTTGAGGAAACTCCATGCTGTCTTCCAGAGTGACTGTATCAGTTTGCATTCCCACCAACAGTATATGAGGGTTCTACTTTCTCTGTATCCTCACCAACATCTGTTGTTTCTTGTGTTATTAATTTACCATTCTGACTGGTGTGAGGTGATGTGTCATTGTAGTTTTGATTTGTATTTCCCTGATAAGTGATGTTGAGCATCTTTTCATGTGTGTTGACCATCTGTATGTCTTCCTTGGAAAAATGTCTATTCATGTCTTCTGCCCATTTTTTAAACTGGGTTGTTTGGTTTTGGGGTGTTAAGTTTTGTAAATTCTGTATATATTTTGGATACTAACCCTTTATCAGATATGTCATTTGCAAATATCTTCACCCATTCCTTAGGTTGCCTTTTAGTTTTGTTGATTATTCCCTTTACTGTGCAGAAGCTTTTTATTTTGATGAAGTCCCAGTAGTTTATTTTTGCTTCTGTTTCCCTTGCCTCAGTAGACATATTTGCATAGTTGCTATAGCCTGTCAAGGAGGTTACTGCCCATCCACATAAAGTTCTTGTAACAGCCCATTGAAATGACAACAAAAAGTGAATAAAACTTACCCTTCATTCTCTTTGAGTTAATTTGATAACCCTTCATTCTAAGATGTTATATTTCCTTTATAGAAGAATATTAAGAAGTGACCCCTGGGCTGCCTGGGTGGCTCAGTTTGTTAAGTGTCCAACTCTTGATTTCCACTCAGGTCATGATCTCTGGGTCCTGGGATTGAACCCCTCAGTCAGGCTCTGTGCTCAGCAGGGAGTCAGCTTGAAGATTATCTCTCTCCACCTCCCTCCACTCACTCAAATAAATAAAAATAAATAAATAAATAAATAAATAAATAAATAAATAAATCTTCCCCCAAAAAATGACCCTATTAGGACATTTTTTTGGAATAATAAACTATACTAATTATAATTATAAAATCCAGTTCCTTCATTTCTGTTGTTTGTTTACTTTAGCTCTAAATAAATTAGACTTAAATTCTTTCCTCTTTTGACTTTTGTGAAACTACTGTCTTTTGATTCTGCTCTTCACCTTCTCATTAGCCTTTCTCACTCTTGATGTGAAGTTGTCCTTCTTTCTCAGCCTAGCAGTCAGAGTATCACAATGACTCTAATTACCAATATTATTCTTAGAGCTCTCATCTTGATGGCTCTAACTCATGCCTGTCTCTTCAGCTGCAGTTACTGATTCCCTGTTGTATTTTACATATGCACCTACATAGCCCACATACATCTTAAATTCAAAATATCTAAACCAAACCCGTCACTTTCCCGGTGTCCTTGCTCTTTTTATTCCCATCTCATTGAAAGATACTCCTGTGCCCAACAGCCCAAAACTGAGTCTTCCTAGACTCCTCTTCCTACTTATTTTCTCCAGTCAGCCATCATTTCCCTCTGAATGAGCCCCCACGGTGTCTCTGTTTTACCCTTTCTTTTTCATCCCTATTGCCAGTGCTCTAGTCTGCTCTTACTGCAGGTCTCCAGCAACTTCCATCATTCCTTAGCTAATTGCTGCCAGTTTCTCTTTGTCATATAGTTCCTCTCCTTGGAATTTTTCCGTGGCTCTCATGACCTTTAGTAAAATGCCAACATTTAACATGATAAATAATGTTCCACATTATCTGACTTATGTGGACCGTTAAGCCACCTGCCAATAAAGCTCTTCTCCTCCCCTCCAGGTTTGTTGGCCTATTTCTAATTCCATGATGATGCCATGTTTCTTGCTGTGCACTTTGTAGCCACTGGTAGGTGATACAAGGAAGGCTGATATATGGTCCCTGACTCCTGTAGGAGTTTCTAATCTATTCCAGAAGATAGTCATATAAAAGATTATTATATTGCAATGTATTAGACCCAGTGATGCAGATAGTCCCAGGTCAGCATAGGAACATGGCAATGAGCATTTAACTTCACCTGGATACAAGGAAAAAGAAAACTTGTGGGGAATGTGGGATGGTGACCAGATGAGTTTTAAGGAATGAGTAGGAGTTAGCCATATGAAAAGAGTAATAAAGATAAGGAAATTCCAGAAAAAGGAGTAGTATAAGCAAGAACATACAAACATGAGGCAATATGGATTCTTTGAAAGTCAAAGCAAGGTGTGGTAGTAGACGAAAGTATAGAAAAAGTATGAAAAGCTTTGTGTACTCTGTTAAGAAGCTTCATTTTTTTTTTTATCTTATGGGCCATATTAAGTCATTGTAAGATATGATAAACAGGACAGTGAAAAAGTCAGATTTAATTTTTGGACGATAAGATAGCTCTAACAGCTACATAGAGAATGTATTTGAAAGGACAGGAGTGAAACCATGAATACCTACTAAAGGACCATTGCATTCAACCAGGCAAAAAATGATGGACTTCTGAATGAAAGTAGCAGGGACAGAAAGGGAGAGAAGTGGATGGATTTGAGAAATGTTTTTTATATAAATTCTGCAGAACCTTCATACATATAGAATATGTGATGTAAAGTGGAAAGGGAAGTCAAAAATTATTCCCAGTTTTCTAGGCTGTGCAACAGGATGGATGACAATACCTTTCATGAGACCAAAGAGGAATATTAGGGAGATGGGGGTCATCATCTGTTAATCTGCCCAAGGTAAATGGTTAAGAAGTAAGAGAGACTGGCTTTTGAATCCACAACTGATGCAAAAGCTGATGCTGATAACCTATTCTGTGCCACATCCTCTGAGACTAAAGAAAGCTGAGAAAAGTCATACCTAATAACTAGAAGGTTGTTTATTTTTTAACTGAGTAAGAGACAAAAATTCTGTTGTGATAAGGAGTAGAGGTTGAGTAGGTCAGTCGAGGAAAATTCACTGGTTTAGAACAGTGGTTGAAGATAATAGGGGAGGGAATGACTATAGAGAAGTGGAAGAGCAGATACACCTTACTAAAAGTCAAGCTTTTAGTAGGAGGCAATGAATTCGCATTATATTAATAATAATGATGCCAATAGCCCACAATTATGAAGCACTTTCTATGTGCCTAGCACTATTTATGTGTTTTGCTGTATTAATGGATTCTTACAACTCCCTATGAGATAGATGCAGGTATTATTTTCATTTTACAGATGAGGAAACAAAGGCATGAAATGGTTAAGTAACTCACTTGCTGAAGAGTGATAACTAGTAATAGTGGTACAGCCTACATTTCAGTTCAGGGATTCTCTCTCCACAATCCTTTGTCTTAGCCACTATGCCTCTCAACAGGTGATGATGCCACTTTGCACTATTGTGTAATTTTTTTTCTAGCAGTATTCAGCTGGAAATAGAAATGGAGATAATTTAAAGTGCTAATCCAAGATTGGTATAAGAAAAGGAACAGCTGAGTTCAGAAGATCAACAATTAGAGTTAGTTTAAGAAAGGAATAAAAGAAGCCAGGAAGAGCTGACAAGTTAGGAGAAATTAGGAACCAAAGAAAATCTGTGACATTGAAAGCAATTTTAATATGGAAGAAATTCTAAGAGAGCTGGGATTCTCTCTCAAGACAGAATATTAATCTTAAAGTAGGATATTAAATTCTATCATTTCTGAGGCAGAGCAGAAACCCAGGCCATCTCAGTTCATAATTTTTCCTCTTAAGTACTGTACTATACTATCTCTTGTAACAGCAAAGAAGTCAGAAAACTAACCCACAGAAGAATTTAAATAATGTGATTATTAAAATATTGTGAAATGATGGTAAAATGGAGGGAGAATAAGGAAATTAACCTTTAGCAAGGTGATACGTTGAGAAGTAGAGGTATAATTTTTGAGTTATAGAAATAACCACTAGGAAAACAAAAATTGTTTTATAAAGTAGTTAGGTGCCTCTGGGGCACCTGGATGGTTCAGCTGGTTAAGCATCTGCCTTCAGGTCAGGTCATGATCCCAGGGTCCTGCAATAGGGCCCCTGGGCAGGCTCCCTGCTCAGCAGGGAGTCTGGTTCTCCCTCTGTCTCTCCCCCTTACTTGTGTTCTCTCTCTCTCTCTAACAAATAAGTAAAATCTTTAAAAAATAGATAAATAAATAAATAAATAAAGTTGTTGCCTCTGAGGAATGGGACTGGGCTTTTCATTATAATTCCCATCGGTACTATTTTGCATGTATAGCTTTTATTTTAGAAAAAAAGCGAGGTGAATATGTATTGCAGAAGCTGAGTCAAAAATGGAAAACTGAACTTCCTCTTATCTAAAATATTATTACATAAAAGATATTTTAAACTCTCATAGTTATAAGGAGGAATATCACCCACGAGTCAGAACTACTAAGGAATCACTGAAAGATAGAAGGACAACAGGAAGCTTTTTGTCAAGAGTGTGTTGTGAGTTAATATTTTCAGCTACCCCTCTACTCCAAAAACATGGGAATTACAGAATACATGTGTGTTTTTATAGTTATATATATACATACATACGTAGGTACAGTCAAAGAGAAAGAAGAACAAGGAATAAGGAAGGGAAGAGGGAAAGGATACCCTTAGTGCGCTCAAAAACAAGATAAATATCTCTGAAACAAACAAATAAAAAAAAAAAAATACAACAGTTGTAGGAGCACCAGGCCTAGAGAGAGCCAGAGGTTGCAAGAAGTTGTAAGTTTTCAAGATATAAAGAACCAAATTCTCCCCAACTGGACCCATCCACAAAAGGAAGTGGAAAAGCTCCCATATGCATTTTTCATAATGTGAATTTATTCATATCATCTTTGTATCTTAAATCTTTCATCATAAAATGAAAAATGAAATTTTTACAGAAAGTGTGCTCCAGAGGGCTCAACAGAAATGGATAAGGGTGAAAGGTAAAAAAACACTGAGAATAGTAAGAGTATGAGGGTAGGAAATTAGAAGAGGAAATGGGAAGTGTTTGTCTTTGACCAAGGTTTGAAGGATGACAGGAAGAATAGAAGAAATTGTTCTTAAAAGTCCTGACTTCAGGAGATGTTATTTTGGCATTTGAACTTGTTAAAATGTCCCAACATTATTTGGTCTTATGCCATCAAGTTTATAAAGTGGAAGCAAAAATATTTTCCTGGACATATATCTCACCCTTGGGCTAAAAATTACTATGATCTTCTTGCGAGGTTGTTATTACCTTTGCAATCAGTGAAGGAATGTATAACAAATGATGTGTCAAATCATTCTCTTCTAGGGACCTTCAGGTATTGAGGGTGAATCTGGTCTGCAAGGCGAACCAGGTGCAAAGGTAACCTTCCTAAATAGTGAAAAGGTCTCTCAATTTTTACCACTGAATCCCCTGTTTGCCACATTTTGGCAAATATCAATCATCTTGAAAACAAGTGAGGATAGCAGATAAAAATGGGAAGTGTTTTCAAATGAGTCAGAAAATAAATATGTATATCTATAGCTATGTATCTATCTTTACACTGACTCCATGTGTATGTTTGTATAAGAGAAAGAAAGGAAATAAAAATGATAAAGCTAATGGGGTAATATATTAATTAAAGCTAATGGGGTGATAAATTAATCTGGGGAAAAGAAAAAAATGCGAAGTGTTTTGAAAGCCCTATCCTTATGATACACCTTCCATAATTATTAGATATACTGTTTTAGTAGAAAATGATTTTAATCTTTCCCTTTGTTTCTTTAGGGAAATGTTGGACCTGCAGGCAATGCTGGAGTTGCTGGAGAACCAGGGTTACGGGTAAATGTCTGCTGGGAACCATTTTATTTTATTTTATTTTTTAAAAAGATTTTATTTATTTATTTATTTGAGAGAGAGAGAGTGAGCCTGAAAGGGGAGAGGTCAGAGGGAGAAGCAGAGTCCCTGCGGAGCAGGAAGCCCGATATGGGACTCCAGGATCATGACCTGCGCCAATGGTAATTGCCTAACCAACTGAGCCACCCAGGTACCCTGAGAACCATTTTAATGCACTGGCCTGAGTGGTTCAGAGACTTGAAACATAGCATAAATAAAGCTTCAAAAATGCATAATAAATCTTTCTGGTGCCTAATAGAAAACGTTTGTCTTTATTTCTTAGTTTTAAAAGCTGAATACCAGACCCTGTTCACATGGTCATTTAGTAGTATTTGGAGGCCTAAGCTCATGCATCCTTTTCTCAGTGTGGAGTGTTCTCTGTAGAATGCTTTACACATATGCAGAGTAGCTGTGATTGTCACTCATATTCACATTAGGAAGAAATTCACAAATACCAGTAATCAACTCTCAGGATATTTCCTGACCTAACAAAGCAAACAAATGATTACAACCTAATTTGTGTTTGTAAAAACAACAACAAAAATCTAAAGTCACGAAAAGTTAACAAGATTCAAGGAAATAATTGTAAATAAGTATAATTAGAGAGTTTACAGAAGTTATTCTAATATAGACAGCTTGTAATTTGAGCTGTGGTAAGCTTTTTCCCAAAATAACCATGCCCAAGATAATCTCAAGAGACATTTGCATACTAAAAGGCAAAGTCGGGAGACCTGTTTTATATCCGGTTTCTTTTTCATTTTCCCTTTATTTGCAGGGGGGTTGGCAGGGTGAGGTTGGGGTAGTGGAAGTGTCAATGGTGGGAGCAACAGAGAAACTGTGAAGATGCACTAATTAACTCACTTTTAAATATTTTAGGTAACAAGAGTGTCAATATTACTTTAATATCTTCAAAGACAATGGCTGTATTTTTCTGTTAAGTTCTATATCTGGAGGACAGCTTTTTGATGTACCAGGGCCTTAACTGTTCCCTTGTAAGTGAGAAAATACAGACCCTAAAAGTATGGTTTTAACTGAATTAAGTCATATTAATCCATTTAATTGCGTATAGCAAGGTACTACAACTTTAAGAGATACAGTATTTCTAGTCCTTGAACTCAGGAAACACCAGGTCTATGTGTTTATAAATTTGTGTTTATGTGTTTCTCTTAATTATCTGAAAGTTAAAATTCTGGGCCTATCTTATGTTTGAATTTACAATATTGATTCTTTAAATCATCTTCAGAGCTATTCCAAGCAAATTATATCAAGCTTATTATACTGCCAAATATTCCTTATAAATAAAGTGGAAGTAGGAGTAAATGTGCAGAAACCTGATACTTTCTATAGATACCAGGAGCAAAGAGTAAGTTAAGGCTAGCAATTTAGCAAAATAATAAATCTTACTGTTTTTGCTAAAAAATAGGGTGAACCAGGAGCTCCTGGAGAAGAAGGTCTCCAAGGGAAAGATGGCTTAAAGGTAAATCATACTTTTCTCATTATGTGTATGTAGATATTTCTTGTGAAATCTTTAAAATATTACATAATTAAATGATTTTATGTTACAAACAAAAATCTGCTTATTGTGTGGTATATTTATTTTACTGCTTTCCTTTCCTTAAAAATTTTTACTGGGTTTCAGGGGAACCCAGGAGGAAGGGGTCTTCCTGGAGAAGATGGAGAAAAAGGAGAGACAGGCTTACCAGGGGCTTCAGGACCCTTGGGTAGGACAGGTCTAATGGGCCCTCCGGTGAGTACTGCTGAGTTCATTTTTGAGTACTCCATGAACTCAGTCCTCTATGTGTACACACACACACACACACACACACACACACATTCTGATTCTCTTAGATGTTTGTTGGGTAATTGAAAGTGTGTAACTGTGGCTTGAGAGAGGGCCAAACCAGGGACTGATAATCAGCCTACCTAACATCCAGGGAAGAAAGATAATTTTTCCATGTGTCACATGGACACAAGTTTTGGAAGTTTTTTCCCCCTCCCACTTTGAGATATAATTGACAAGTATCATTGCATAAATTTAAGATGTATAATGTGACAATTTTATACACATGAGCGTGTGCGCGTACACACACACACACACACACACACACACACACACGTATACATATATGCTTACCAAATAGGGTTAGTTACACATCCATCACTTTACTTAGTTACTTACCTTTTTGTAGTGTGGAGAAAATTTTTAAGACTCACCCTCTTAGCAACTTTCAAATATACAATACAGTATTGTTAAGTATAGTCACCACATTGTACATTATATCTCTGTGAGTTATTTATAACTGGAACTTTGTGTCCATTCACCATTTCCCCCATCTCTCCACTTCTGGCAACAACCATCAGTCTGTTCTCTGTTCCTATGATTTCAGGCGTGTTTTTTTTTTAGATAACACACATGTGCGATCATACAGAATTTTTTTTCCTCTGACTTATTTCACATAACATAATGACTTCCAGGTCCATCCACATTGTTGCAAATGTCAGGATTTCCTTCTTTTTGTGGCTGAATATTCCACTGTATATATAAACCATATATATACCATTCTTTTTCAAATATAAATTGACCATATATGCATGCATTTTCTCTGGGCTCTCAGTTCTTTTCCATTAGTCTTTATGTCTGTTTTAATGCCAGTACCACACTGTTTCTATTAGTATAGTCTTGTATTAATACAATCTGGAACTAAGAGGTGTGATACCTCCAGTTTTAATTTTTCTCAAGATTATTTTGGTTATTTGGGGTATTTTCTGGTTTCATGTGAATTTTAGGATTTTTTTTCTATTCCTGTAAAACATGCCATTAGAATCTTGATAGGAATTACACTGAATCTGTAGATGGTTTGGGGTAATATGGACATGTTAACAATATTAATTATTCCTCCCTATGAATATGAGACAGCTTTCTGTTTATGTGTCTTCTTCAATTTCTTTCATCAATATCTTACAGTTTTCAGTCTCTAGATATTTCATCTCCTTGGTTGTATTTATCCCTAAATATTGTATTATTTTTAATGCTGTTATAAATGGTAATATTTTCTTTATTTCTTTTTCAGATAATTAATTCTTAGCATATGGCAACATGACTGGGTTTTCTAGGTGATTTTTGTATCCTGCCATTTTACTGAAAGCATTTATTAATTTTAACAGGGTTTTTTTTGTCGAGTCTTTAGGGTTTTCTATATATGAAGATAATGCCATCTTCAGAGACAGTTTTACTTCTTCCTTTCTTATTTGGGTGCCTTTTATTTCTTTTTCTTGCATAATTGCTGTGGATAGGATTTCCAGTACTGCTGTGAACAGAAGTGGTCAGAGTCTCTTGCTCCTGATCTTAGAGGAAATCCTTTCAACCTTTCACTATTAAATGTGACATTACCTGAGGGTTTGTCATGTATAACCTTTATTATGTTGAGGTATGTTCCCTCTATACCTGCTTTGTTGAGAGTTTTTATCATGAAAATTACTGAAGTTTGTCAAATACTCTTTCTGCATCTATTGAGATGATCATATGGTTTTATCTTTCATTCTGTGAAAGGGGTTTATCACATTGATTGATTTGCAGATGAACCATTCTTGCATCCCGGGAATAAATCCCACTTGAACGTGGTGTATGGTCCTTTTAATTTGATGTTGAATTTAGTTTGCTAGCATTTGGTTGAGAATTTTTGCGTCCATATTCATCAGGGCTTTGGTCTGTTGCTTTCTTACAATATCCTTATCTGGCTTTTGTATCAGGATAATGCTGACCTGAGCTTGAGTGTATTCCTCCGTTTCAAAATTTTGGATGAGTTTGAGAAATATTACCATTACTGCTTCTTTAAGTGTTTGGCAGAATTCATCAGCAAAAACTAGGTTTTTCTTTGTTGAGAGGTTTTATTACTTATTCAGTCTCATTCATTATTGGTCTATTCAGGTTTTCTGTTTCTGCATGATCCAGTCTTGGTAAGTAGTACTCTTCTAGGAATAGATATATTCTAAGTTGTCCAATTGGTTGACAAATAATTATATATTAATAGGCTTTTATAATCCTTTGTTTTGCTGTGTTATAATTTATAATGTCTTCCCTTTCTTTTCTAACTGTATTTGAGGTCTTTCTGTGTTGGTGTTTGTCGGGTTTATCATTTCAAGCAACCAACTACTTTGTTAACCTCTTCTCTAGTTTTTCTGTTTTCTATTTTATTTACTTTTGCTCTGATTTTCATCATTTTTTTTCCTTCTAACTTTGAGAACTTCTACTTCTTTGAGGTATAAACTTACGTAATTTATTTATGATCTTTCTCCTTTTATAGAGTAGGCATGTAAACGCTCTTAGAACTGCTTTTACTGCATTCCATAAATTTTTGCTATGTTATGTTTCCATTTTTGTTTCAAGTTATTATTTAAATTCTATTTAGTTAACATACAGTGTAAATGGGTTTCAGGAGTAGAATTTAGTGATTCATCACTTACATACAACACCCAGTGCTTCTCACAAGTGCCCTCCTTAATCATCATCACTAATTTAGCCCATTCCCTGTCCACCTCCCCTCCATCAACTCTCTGTTCTCTGTAGTTAAGAGTTTCTTTTCCCCTCCTCTCCCTCTCTTTTCCCCTCCTTCTCCTACGTTCATCTGTTTTGTATCTTAAATTCCACATGTGAGTGAAATCATATGCTATTTGTCTTTCTCTGACTGACTTATTTCACTTAACATAATACTCTCTAGTTCTATCCATGTCATTGCAAATAACAAGATTTCATTCTTTTTAATGGCTGAGTAATACTCCATTTTATATATATATAAAGTGGAGTATATATATAATGGAGTGTGTGTGTGTGTGTGTATATATATATATATATATATATATATATATATAATGGAATATATACATATATTCTGTTATATTATATACATATGTATGTATATACCTCTTCTTTACCCATTCAGTTGTTGGACATTTGGGATCTTACCATAATTTGGTTATTGTTGATAATGCTTCTATAAACATCGGAATGCACGTATTCCTTCAAATCAGTATTTCTGTATTCTCTGGGTGAATACCTAGCAGTGCAATTGCTGGGTCAAAGGATACTTCATTTTTAACTTTTTGAGGAATCTCCATACTGTTTTCCAGAGTGACTGCACCAGTTTGCATTCCCATCAACAGTGTACGAGGGTTCCCCTTTCCCCACATTCTTGCCAACACTTGTTATTTTTTGTGTTGTTAATTTTAGCCATTCTGATAGGTGTGGGGTGATATATCATTATAGTTTTGATTTGCATTTCCCTGATGATGAGTGATGTTAAGCATGTTTTCATGTGTTGGTTGGCCATGTTTTTGTCTTTGAAAAAATGTCTATTCATGTCTTCTACCCATTTTTTAACTGGATTATTTGTTATTAGGGTGTTGAGTTTTATAAGTTCTTTATATATTTTGGATACTAACCCTTTATCAGATATGTCATTTTCAAATACTTTCTCCCATTCCTTAGTTTGTTTTTTAGTTTTGTTGATTGTTTCCTTCATCATACAGAAATTTTTTATTTTGAAAAAGTCCCAGTAGTTCATTTTTGCTTTTGTTTCCCTTGCCTCTGGTGATGTGTCTAGCAAAAAGTTGCTACAGCCAATGTCAAAGAGGTTGCTGCTTTGTTCTCTTCTAGGATTTTGATTGTCTCCTGTCTCACATTTAGGTCTTTCATACATTTTGAATTTATTTTTGTGTATGGTGTTAGGAAGTGGTACATTTTCATTCTTCTGCATGTGGCTGTCCAGTTTTCCCAACACCATTTGTTGAGGAGACTGTCTTTTTCCCATTGGATATTCTTTCCTGCTTTGTTGACCATGGAGTTGTGGGTCCATTTCTGGGTTTTCTATTCTGTTCCATTCGTCTGTGTGTCTGTTTTTGTGCCAATACCATACTGTCTTGATGACTACAGCTTTGTAATATAACTTAAAGTCTGGAATTGTTTTTCTTTTCTTTCTCAAGATGCTTTGGCTATTTGGGGTCTTCTGTGGTTCCATACAAAATTTAGGATTGTTTGTTTTAGCTCTGTTAAAAATGCTGGTGGTATTTTGATGGGATTGCACTGAATGTGTAGATCACTTTGGGTGGTATAGACATTTAAAAAACATTTCTCCTTTCAATCTGTGAACATGGAATGTTTTACCATTTCTTTGTGTCTTCTTCAATTTCTTTTATAAGTATGCCATAGTTTTCAGAGTACAGATCTTTTACCTCTTTGGATAAGTTTATTCCTAGGTATCTTATGGGTTCTGGTACAATTGTAAATTGGATTGATTCCTTCATCTCTTTCTGCTGCTTCATTATTAGTGTGTAGAAATGCAACTGATTTATGTACATTGATTTTGTAACATGCAACTTTGTTGAATTCATGTATCAGTTCTAGCATTTTTTTTGTGGAGTCTTTCAGGTTTTCTACATAGAGTATCGTGTCATCTGCAGATAGTGAAAGTTTGACTTCTTCCTTGCCATTATGGATGCCTTTTATTTCTTTTTGTTGTCTGATTGCTGAGGCTAGGACTTTTAGTACCGTGTTGAGTAACAATGGTGAGAGTGGACATCCCTTATCTTGTTCCTGACCTTAGAGGAAAATCCTTGTTTTTTCCCCATTGAGAATGATATTAGCTGTGGATCCTTCATATAGGCCTTTATGGTGTTAAGGTATGTTCTCTCTATCCCTAATTTGTTGAAGGTTTTTATCAAGAATACATATGGTAGGGGCGCCTGGGTGGC